CTCATCCCAACTACCTTCATTTTTGTCATTGATAAAGTCTCTTACATATTGACCCCCAATTGGTATATTACTTTCTTCAAAGTTCCTATAATTATTTATCCTTCCCCAGTAAGGGATCCTTCCTCCTCTCCTCCAGGACCTTCCTCGAAATCTCCTTTGGAATGTAGGGACTCCAGTATTTGATCCTTCATCATATGAAAGTCTGTCGAAAACATCATTATTTTGAAGTCTACCTCTTCCTCCCCGAGGGGAATACATTTCTTTCCTAACCCATTGTTTCTGATTTCTACTAGTACCAGAACCAACATATTTCTGCTGACTCTCCCCTACCGTTGCTTGGACTGTTTGATCTATTTTATCATTGCAACCTTTATGTTGATCCTCTATTTTTTTTATATGTCCTGCCCTGAAGGCTTTAGCAGCTAATCTGTCGAACACCGCACTGCACCGTGGACATAATGTCACACTTTCGTCCTTCTCTTTCTTTCTGTTTAAAAATTCAACGAGGGAATCTTTTGATCGAGGATAGATTTCTCTCTCGAATTCTTTCTCGAACTCGCTTAGGTCGAACTCTATGTCTTCTTCTGACATGTCCATTCTGACATGTATGGGATCAATGTCTTCAGTAACATTGACCATACCTATAAAGGTCGAATTTATCAATCGGACATCTTCAGTCTTGTCCGTCTGGGATTCGACATATCCTACTTGAACTTCAAATGGACTCGTATCTACTTTCATTGACATCTCCTCAAACTTCAATCTTCCTTGGTCGATCGCATCTTAGATCGTGTTCCTGAAATGTATACAATTATTAGTCCAATGTCTATAGATATTATGAAATTTACAATATTTTCGACCATTTCTCTGTTCTGCAGAAGACAATTTATGATCATTACTCAATTTAATCTGTTTATCTTTCAATAAAATATCGAAGATTTTATCTGCCTTTGTTACATTAAAAGTATATGTGTGATTTTCCATTTTGTCTTTTACTTCATTTTTCTGTAGCAATTTACAAATATATGGAGTTCCGACTTTGAGTTTTGCTATATTCACTTTCTCATCGACAGATTCTTTAATATCTACTTCTATTCTGGGATTTTCCTCATATATGTCATTTATATACGCTACCCTATCTTTCTTCATAGGTTTCTCAAATTTCTTGTACCTCTGTTTCTCATATTCGATTTGTTCCACTCTTCTCACTTTATCAGCTAGCTGAGCCATGTCATTCAACGGTAAATTAACTAACTTTTTCCTAATCGAGAATTCTAAGCCTGCAGAGGCCATTCTAACTAATTCAAATTCTGGAATTTGAGTAAAACATCTCGACTTCATTTGTCTAAATCTATTCAAATAATCATCTACCTTTCATGATTATATCTCTTTATATTCATTAAGTCGATGAGACTTACTTGAGTCTCCCCCCTAAAGAATTGCTCATGAAAATTTCTTTCCAGTTGCAACCAATTATATATCGAATTAGGTGGCAATGAAGTAAACCAAGTGAAAGCATTCTTTGTTAACGAACTAGGAAAGCATTTCATTTTTAATTCCTCACTCATCGCTAGGTCTTCACATTCGATTTGATATCGCGCCACATGCTCGATAGTAGATTCGCCAATTTCGCCAGCAAATTTGGTGAATTTGGGTATTTTGTATCCTCGGGGTAATTCTGTCTCGAGAATCGTGCTTGGAAAAGGAGAAACAAAGTACGGTTGATTAGGTGGTCTTAATTCCACTCCTTGGGAATTCATCCTTTGTCCCAGCATGTGATTGTACTGCATGTTATTTTGATTATACATATTTTGAAATCCCTCATTCAAATTTTCGTAAGTATCATTCCCCACATGCTGATGTTGATCATTGTTTCGATTTCTCCTTAATAAATAAAAGGGATTGATATTAGAGTTTTGGTTAATATTTTGATTGGCATTATTTTCGACCCTCGTTTGTCGAGGTATTGCCAATGCATCCCCGATACGTGCCATTTGGTCTGCTAATATCTCAAAACTAGTGGTAGTGTTTTGAACTAATGGGTTTAGTACTGTAGTCAACTGTTGTGATAACATGTTAATCATCTCGAAATTGCTTTCATGCATTTGTTGCCGAAGCACTCCTAATGAATTACTGGAAATCCCAGTACCAGTGTTTTCGATAGTCTCGAAATTTGATCGATGATAATCTCTATCGAATGCATATCTCCCGTGATCCAGATTTACTCTGTGATCTAAATTAGATATTAGAGGTGTCTGTTGTGTTCCTAAAGTCTGCGCACTCCCTGAATTTTGAGGTGTTACCAAATTTTGAGACACCCCTAAATTTGGGGGTACTCCAAAATTTTGAGGCATACCTAAGGTTTGAAATGTTCCTAAGTTTTTGGGCATTCCGAGGTTAAATCTCGTACTTCGTTGTATTGAAGAAGTGTCAGCCCCATTCATATTATTAAACGAAAAACCAGGTGGTCTTACACTCATATGCGGACCTGCGTATGTTGTTACAGGGTTTCCCGTAGTTTGCATATTGTTTGACATTACAGTACTAGATCCTAACTGAGTGTTTGCCAATGTGTCTGGGCTTTGTTCAGTACTTACAGGCATCGTCGTACTCACAGTTGTCGATATTACAGGCATATTCCCATTGTGAACTTGCCCCCCAGTGTTTGGTGGATGTGAATTGTTTAGGATCTCACTGTTATTCTGATTATTTGGTGGATTTTGACTCATTCTTATTACTCGTCCACTTCTTAATCTCATACACTTTCGAACTAGCCAATTTAGTTGTGTTTTTCGACACAACTCTCTCCCCTACTTGGCGCGCCAATTTGTTTCTGGTGGAAATTTGATTGATTTCGATTAAATCAGAGACTTGGGTTCTAACCAAATTTTAACCACGTAGATTTTTTTTACTTAGACTAGTAAACCGTTTTCAATCGAAACATGCATAAGAATCGAAAATCCCATAGTATCTAAAAATGCTAACTACGCAACCTAGTGTACAGATTGCTAATCGAAAGTACTATTTTTGGTATTTTTTATTAAGAAGCACGAAGTAAAGGAAGCAGCAAAGGATATCGAAAAAGCAATGCAGAATATTTAAATTGCAAAGAAATGTCAATGACAATCAAATTGAAATTGCAAAAATATAAATGACGAAGAACTTAAACGCAGAATTTTAACTTGCATAAAGGTAAAATAACAAGGAATTGAAAGTACAGAAACTTAAAGTTGATAAACGTAAATTGCATGAAAGTAAATTGCATGAACATAAATTACCAGGGAAAGTAAAGAAAGCGGTAAAAACAGTCAATGAGAATGGAAATTCAGATCGCCAGAAACTTCATGATTCGTCGTTCTCCGGTAGACTTTTCACTTGTGTTTCTGTTGTCTCTACCAATTTCTCCTTCTTTTTCAAGCTTCGTTCTATTTATAGGCATCCTTCAACATAACCTCCTAAGAGCAGTTAAAAAACTGTCACCACGTTCCATGTGCACGTTCCTCGATTTTTACCTTAATTTACGATTTAGAAAACCGCTTCCACGTTCCATGTGCATTATAACCGTTTCTCGATCTCGATTCCAGTTATCGAGTCCGATTTCCCTTAACCTTGACTTTACGCTATACTTTATCATTACTTTCATCGATTCGTTTCTCTCTTTTTTTATTCTCGATTTCCATTCTCGAGTTATGTTCATACTATCTCATGGTCACTGGATGTCTTCCAACTGTCATTTCCATTTATCAATTTTTTAACCAATTATATGATTTTCGATTCTTTCTTTTCTATTTTTCGATCCTAGTATCGATTTTTCACTAACACAGCTCAGTAAGTTTCGACGTGATAAGTTCTTTACAAAGATTAACCCATGTAGTAAGCAAACTAGTTAGTCTAAGTTCAAATATAGACATGTTTTAAAACAAAACATAAACGTTACTCACTTTTGATTTCTGAACTACATGGTCTTGGTCCATTCACTTTACTAACTAGATACCTGTAAAACGCATATTTTATATTTAAATATGTTGTCCCACTTTCATGTCTCAGTCGCAGTCTCACCTATCATACGTTGACACACTACTGATTAGTTACTGTCTTGAGAGAGTACTGTTGCACGATAAAAAAATAGCCGCACACGTCTCCTTTCAAAACTGGATAAATGTTGCAGAAAAAGCATCTTCAAAATTGGTTTTCATCAAGATATTTTTGGTATCCATTCTCAACTGTGAAAGAATGTACTTTCCGAGAATCCTTGCCTTTCAGGAATTCCAACATGAAAAATTGTTGCTGTAGTACTCTTAATCGTCCACTGTGGAACCCCTAATTCTTTTTTATCGTAATATATAATGGAATTGGAAACAGTGTATTAGTAGTGATTTGCGAGGAACATCGTTTTTTTTAATTAATGACATGTCAACGTTCACAACCATTTATCATGTTGAAACTTCATACTCCGCAGACACAACTTGTAGAGGGCCTAAAAGTCAGAACCACAACCATAAATATCATGATCAGTATAAAGGACAGGAGAAAAGTTCTTAGTTACTTGCACATCAGTTCACTATTCGGGTGAACGGAGAGACAAGTTTATTTCTTCAGTCAAAAAGTGATGCGTAACATGACAATACCACGATTCTGACGAATCCAATAGATACATACGCTTTACCTTAATGATTAAATCATCAATCGAGAACATGCACAGGTTATTTTGTTGTTAGCGGGCATAAAAAAAAGACTAATCTATAAACTCAAACGCGTAAACTTTAGAACCGTTAACGAGCCAGGACATGGAAGGAAAAAAAAAATGTATACATTTTTATAAACGAATTAGGTAACATGGTGGTATTGGTCAAAAGAAAAATGAATTAACTAACTGGAATAAAATACACACTTTGTTTTGTCGTATATATTGTTGTATCTTCTCCATTGTAAGTTTCTATTCAAGATTGCGTAAGAGGAAACCGACCAACCTCAAAGGCGAAACACAGAAGCAGTTTTGGTCAAAAACCAAAGACCATGAACCAAAAGAGCAAAACGAAAACGGTAAAAGCGACCAACATGGCAACCATGTCCATTGCATTGTCTCTCCTTAGTTTTTTCTCTTTGGTCTCTCTCTTCACGCGGCAGAATTTCTCGAACCTTGCTTTGGCTTCTTTGGGGTCCGGTTTTCTTCTCTCACCGTTCTTCATGGCGTCTTGCAAAATGACGAAGCTGTCCCTGCCCATCACGTGCCTCCCCTCCGTGTCCTCCATTGCGAGACTCACCTCCCTCACGTGCATCGCGCCCCCGGCCTTCCCGCAGCACGTGACTTTGATAACGCACTGGACCGTCTCCATGGCCACCGCGAACAGCACCTCCAGCTCCTCCGTCAGCCAGTGCCGCCGCGCAGCCACCGGCCTCCGGCTCGAGACGTTCGCCGCGCGCTTCCGGCTGGGGTCGATGACGATCCAGCTCAGCCCGAGGTTCTCCTCGAGGTGGGCCAGCCACGAAGATTCTTCGTCGCGCAGCGCGAATTTCAAGGGAGTGGGAACCACCTCGTTGGCATCGAGGAGGTCCACCCAGAGCGGGGAGGAGAGGAACCAGCCCTTGTGGGTTTCGGTTGTGATGACGCGCGAAAAGAAAGGTTTGCCCTTGTAGTAGAGGTCGACGGCAGAGACGAACTCCGGCGGCATCGGCGTTGGGTTGGGTTGGGGATGAGCGGAGTGGTGGAGGGAGGGAAAAGAGTCGGAGAAAACAGAGCGGTGGGCGGCGGGGAAGGTGGCGATGAGGGCGGCGGTGCGTGGGTGGTTGAGGGAGGGCCAGGTGGAGGCGCAGATGTTCTGCCAGAGGTGGTGGTCGGTACAGAGACGACGGAGGTGGAGGGTGGAGGAGGATGCGGAGGCGAGAGTGGGGCCATCGAGGCGATTAAGGATGTGGGATTGAATGATGTCGGGGTGGAGAGTGGTGATATGAGATGATGATGACGACGGTGACAAAGATGAAGAAGAAGAAGAAGTGGTGGTGGTGTCCATGGGTGGCAAATATGTTTGATACAAGTATAGAATTTGTTAAAAGTTGAATGTACTTGTTGGTTGAAGTGAGAAGGATAAGGATGATGAATATGCAGATATTATTATGAACCGGATAATATATAAGGGGAGTAGGGTTTTAGACATGTTGATGAATGATGATGATTCATGGTTGAAGCAAGGGTGTATGTGTGATGTGTAGTTGTGTCGGATTAGGATTGGGATTGGTGAGAGATATAGAGTTATGTTTGGTGATTTTTCTGAGCGATGATCAAGTTGAGATGAGATGAGAGTAGGGTCAAGAATGGGTGTTACTAAGGTCAGCATAGATAATAATAATCATACTATTTAAAATCAACTTTCCGTTTTGTTTCCGCTTCATTATACTAATACAATACCAAGCACCCTACATATTCCGCATCTCCCAATTTCTACTCTTCTCATATTATAATAACAACTCGTTTACTCATCTAGAAGCAACACAGAAAAAAGGAAACTTTTTTTTATCATTAAACAAATCAAAACATAAATATTTTTATTTTTATCTATTTTCCTTCTTGTCACACTTAACAGAAATGTGATGGAGTTAGATATTTTGAGAAAAAAAGTGTTGTGAACACTACAGAAATGTTCTTTTGTTTGTTCCTCCAACTTTAGGCACCAATTCCTTTATCTGGATGTGCGGAACAGCACATGTACATCCACCCAATCTAATCTCCTCAAAATAAATAGAAAATAAAAAACAACCTTATCAACCTCTCTTTCGGTCATCCAATGTTTTATTTTATTTTCTACTTTCATTCTTTATTGTTTCTATACATAGTATTTTATTTTTGTTATAAATTATCCAATTCATCTGTCCTTTTATTTCGCTAATAATAATAATAATTTTGACCCAATTTGTCGTTTGCTATCATGATACTCGTTTAGCGATCGATTAACTATTGGTGTTAACCAATAACTAAATAGCACGATTAAAAATTTTAAAGAAGAAAAAACGTGCTTTTACCAACCATATACGGTGAGTGCAATTTTAGCTGTCAAATGAATTAGCAACGGAAATTGTCATATAGAGACCGACATTTTTTGGTCCTTATTCGGTAACTTCTTTGTATTTTTGTGACCATTAAAGATTGTGTTCTTCAGGACTCACTCAGTGTAGTGTATAAATTAATAAAGCTAATTACCCTTTTCATCACCCTTAGCAGTGTACGGTGTACCTTCATCTGGACCACAATTTTGGACGTTATAAAAAATTGTGAAAATCAATAACAATCTATAAGACTAATATAAAATTAGATTGACTAATATGTGATTAATTTTAAAATATAAATTAGATTAATCTTTGTTTTCTACTTAAGCCATAAGAATATCCAATTTTTACGGCATTCCAAAATTTTATACGCGTAAACATTTCCTATTCAATAATTCATGTAACATGCACACGTGCTTATACTATTCTTCTCTTCAATTAAACATTTCATTTTCTATAAAAATCATAATAAATTTGAATACTGATTGTGTCCATTCAAGATTTTGAATTGTATTAGGTGTTTACAGACAACTTTGATTAAACAAATTATTTTGGTCAATTTGATGCAACCAGGTGTTGGTGGTTAATTAGGAACGCAATTTGCTGATGGTGGCTAATTTGTAATCGACACTCTTTTTTTCAGCCATTTTGTTTGTTCATACTCCTTCGTCAACTGTTTGCAATTTGCAAACCATTTTTTTCTTCTTCTTCCAAGCACACACTTAACCCGTTCAACTGCAATTCAATGCTCACAAAAAAAAGGGTGCCAACCAAACCCTTTCTACTTTTAAATATTCAATCAATCAATTAATTAATTTGCCGGCTTAACCAAATCCAGCTTTCTATGCATGGATAATCGTTTGACCAACTGTGTCACTTTGTTAATTAAGTCATCAAAAAGTGTTCCATTTAATATTAGTTCAGATTTTCTTGTTGTGACATGGTTTAATTTAAATAATTATAATTACCTTTTTTTTATTTAATATATGTGACAGGATTAGATGTAAACAAATGGATCAAAACAAAATTTTACTTGATGGTAACTAAAATATCTAAATTTTAGGTAGAAACCTAAAACGTTAAAACGAATTTATAATTATATTAGAAAAAATTGGTAATGTGGAATGACACATAATTGACGAGAGAGTTTATGACAATAGTTGAGTTCACATGAATATGAAGATGTTAAAGTACCTGTTGGAGTTCAGAAGCAGAAAATAGCTGAGATGAAATGCGAAATCTGACAGCAGAGTCAGACTAAGAAATAGTCCTCAAGTTCTCTTCTAGAGAAGTTTAGATCCATTAACATATGTCACTCATCACCCCATGTTGATGGCCCTCCACTTCCAATATCTGCTTCTACTGGAAATGATAGAGACTCCATATTCTGCATTTTAGTATTCTTAGGTTTGGCAAATGAGGTTACTGTGCTTCCGACCAATTTCACATCCTTAGGCACTTTGCCATCTGCATTCATTTCATCACCATGATTTAGATTTTCTGCATCATTGATTTTAAAAAGCTCTGCAAATGAAGCTTCTGCATCATCAATAATGTCGAGTTCACTTTGTTCCTCATTCTTACGTTTTTTCTTCGGTTTCTTCTCAGCCTTAGAAACATTCTCCTCAGGAATAAAACTCTTGTTGTCCAAGGGCTTGCCATCCTTTTTTACCTTTTTCTTGATTGATTTATTTTCTCTGTCAGAATCAACCGTAACTATATGACTGTCTTTCTTTCTGTCTGCCTTATCCTTTTTATGAGCTTTATTTCCCTCAGCAATCACCCTGTCTTCCTTCTTGGATACATCAACAATTCTCTTCCTTTTCTTACTTGATTTTCTCTCCGAGTCAAGATCACCCGCGGCTTCAAGATGATCATCCTTCTTTTTATCTGTTGTACGAAATCTTGCATTATTTTCTTTGTTGCTATGTCTCAAATTTTGACCTGCCTGATCAACTGGAAAATCATGAGTTGCATCAACTTCGCCACCTTGCTTATTCTCAGCATCTTTATCTACCGGTCTAGCATTGAATATCTGTAGTCTTGGCAGTGCTTTCTTAATCTGTATCATTGCACACACAATAAGGATGAGACTCAATAATCATTTGCGAATTCACATAGAATAAGAAGCACAATGGGATCACCTTTCTTGTAATTTTATCCACTGTGGCAACAGGATTTCCTTGTAGATTAAGATTTCTCAGATTTGTGAGCAATTTGAGAACCTATAAATGTAATACATGATGAATGAACATGGTAAAGGGAGTTCTAGGCAATGGTAAAAAATGCCAGTAAACGTGAAAACTCCAGATATGAATGTCGAACCTTTACTTCTGACCACCTCGTGATCACATTATTCCCCACATCTAAATTCCGGAGTTTTGAATTTAGCTTTAATTCATCTGGAAGAGACTGAGATCCAATTTAAACAATATAAAAAAATCATAAGAAACATGTCATGAAATAATATGATGTATTCATTCAAAGATAAGTAATATTGTTAGTGGAAGTGGAATAAAAACAAAAGGTCACATATTTAAAGCACACCTTAATATCATTGTGAGCAAGGCGGAGCTCGCTTAACTCGACACAAGACTTGAGTGAGGTGTCAATACCCTGAAGCTGACAATAAGAGAGGGAAAGCTGGAACCAAGAGAGATATCATGAGCAATAGGAATACAATACTGAAATAGGCACCAAAGGAATTCAACATCTTGGGGCACCTCTTACCTTCGTGACTGCTTTCACCTTCAGCAGAGCATCACCAATTTTACGGATAGGATTTTTTGATAGAACTGCAGAGGTAGATATTCAAAGATTATTCAAGATTTTTGGTACATTTATGCACACCTTTTGTACATATTCAAGTTCTAACCATCTTGAGTTGGTGAGATTATTTGGCCAAAATAATTATGCATTTGCAAACATACACAAACATAAAGTAAAAGAAGAAGTAGAATATTATTGGTTTCCATGTATATATATCAAGCAAGATTGAAAGGTCAAAGATAACTTCTCAACAAGTAACATGCCCCTTATACATAAAATTAACAACCACATGAAAAATGTGCTGCTAAACCTCCTTAAAAAATAGAGTAAATTACACTAATATCCCTGAGGTTTTCTTGAATTACACAAACATCCCTTTTTTGGTAAAATTCTACACAGACCTCCTCTTTGTTTTAAAAATACTATATTGTCACCCCTTTTTACATTACATATGCACTTCCTTAAGTTTTAAAAACATCACACTTACACTTATAAGGGAGACCATTGCAATTGTGAGAAAAGAAAGGGATGTAAGTACATTCAAATTTCTAATTTATTTCATTCTCATTGATATGGTTTCTTTATACTCGTTTTCGTGTAAACTTTGCTTCAAGAATAAGAAGATAATAACTAAGAAACTAAATAGAAAATAAAAACAGCCAATTGTGCATATGTGATGAAGTATAACATCATCCAAGACATGTGAGTCACTAAAATGATAAACAACAACCAAATCTTATCGCCCTACATAGGTGCTGAAGTTATCAACTTTTAACTGAAGGTATAATTAGCCATACCAAGAGTGTTCAATTCTTTCAACTGATCCAATTTGCAAATGGATGAAATCTCATTTTCTGCAAAACCAAAAAAGAAAGGTAAGAGTGCAGAAAGGGAAATATAAATAAATAGAAATAATTAGTACTGATATTTTCACATTGCTCTAAAATAGATGTGGTTAGAAGGTGATCATGCAAACTCACCATTCAAAATCAGAGCTCGGAGACTAACAACTGATGTGACCAGATCAATAGATTTAAGCTTATTTTTGCCTGCATTTAGCACCTGGTTCACATATTCATACAAAAGTAACTCCTAAATCCCCATGTTACTCAATGAATTAAGTCAGAAAAATTAAGATTAGGCAGATTATTTGACAAGAAATCAGTGCATTAATCTGGAAATTTGCATGTTCAAACAAATCAAGCACATCAAGGAAAATAGAGAAGAGTCGATGTTTCAGAAGCCAAGCGAAGTGGCACTATTTCTAAAAGCTTTTGTGATACTAAAGAGATTCTAAGAACAATATACTTAATTAAATTAAACAATTGAATATTCCCTGTGAAATGAAAGAATTCAAATAAAGTTTCTCAAATACTAGAAATTTGAACTCTTGGAAACAACTCTATATTTTCGGCAAGGATGTAAAAATTAAACAACATACCAGATACACACAAATTACAACCAAGTCATGTGATTACTAAAAGGGAATGACTTGTTCATTCCAAATTAAACAATTCTACATTGTACTTATAATTCCAGCATAATAAGTATCAAGGCGGGAATCATGATACTTGGGAGTTGAGATTGCAATCATATCAATTTCAAGATAAGAAGACTCTCCAGTCTCCTCTTCTTGACCTTATTCATAAAGAATTGTTTTTCCAACGCAAGTTGAACAACCTAATCCCAGGGAGAGCCAAATATCTAAATCATGGAATAGAACCATTTTGCTGATAAAGATTTGAATTGTTGAAAGGAAAGGAGATATGCCACCGTTCTCACAACTAACACGCCAGTGAGGGCACAAAAGAAGCTATTAACAACAAATACACCGTTCAAGTTGTCACTAAATTTACAACTAACCAAACCACTGAAATGTACAGCATACATAAGATTAACATTTAAACTAAAAAGTAAATTAAAAAAAAAAAAAAAAAACACAAGCAACTTACAGTCAGCTTAGTGAGTCCTTGAATTCCTTCCAAGCTTTCCAATTTGTTTTCTACAACGGATAGCCACTTCAAATTGGCACATGATCTCAACCCCTGGTGTAGCATGCACAACAAATCAATCAAAAGTGCCAATACGTAAAAGTCTTTTCTTTTCTTTTTTTCAAAAAAGAAAGAAATTAAGTACCTCAAGTGAAGTGAGGTTGTTGAGCTTAAGGTCAAGCTTTTCCAAGTTTATGAAGTTGGCCAAGCACGTTATCTGGGTAAATTCCAAAGTTAAAAAAAAAAAAAAAGAGTTAATATTTATGGTGGTTATGACCAGAAAGAGGAACAGAAAACAAAAGGGTATTGATTCTGACATCGGAAAGAGCTCTGTGAGTGAGATGAAGAGTGGTAACGGAAGTTGGGTCGGAGACATTGTTGTCCTTCAAAATTTGTTCGGAGCTGAGGCGAGTCATTGCCTCTTCTCTTTCACAACACAGACAGATTCATTCAACGAAGTTGCCACTAACCCGATGGAATCGAACTTCTAACCTATAAATCCCTCCCTCCTCTCGCATCATAAAACCCTATTTTTACTTTTTTTTAATAAAAAATTCAGAAAACACAGTTTTAATAAATTTATTTTCTCTAAGTGAATAATTTTTCGTCCATAATTATACTATATTGGAATTTATTTATGTATTTTTGTAAGATTATTTACAATTTACTCCTTCTCCTTAATTATTTTGTTTACCAAAATACTTAAATCAAATTTATTCTTAGATAATAAAAATGATTGTGAGATTCAAATAGAATAATTCTAATTTATTAAGATTATAATTAAATAAAAATAAATAAAGATGATATTTTCGGTTTGATTCATCTTATTTTGAATATGCCAAAAATAAAATTGAATTATCATAATCATAATTAAAACGAGTTAGATATTCTGTGTACCATACGGATTAACAAGTCAATTAATTAATTTATATATATATATTTTAAAATACACCTTTAATTATATAAATAATTTTTAAATTTTTATTTATTAATTAATATTTTTATTACATAAATTTAAAAAATATTATATATTATAATATCTAATTATAATTAATAATTTAAAATTAATTAATTAATATTTATAATTTAATTTATAATATTATGATATATTTCTATATTTTAATATTATGATAAACAAAATACTTTTTTTAATTTAATTATTTTTATTTAATTTTAATATATAAATATTTTTTCAAATTATATTATACCTAACTTATTTTTTCATCTAAAATAAATCTTAAATAATAATTTTAAGAAGATAAAAATTTATTACATAATATTATATTTACCTTAAAAATATATATATATATATATATATATATATATATATATAATCTATTTTATTTTACGTCTTATTATTAGAATCATGATTTGTAATAAAATTTATTTTGCGCATGAAATATTTATGAAAACAAAATAATTATCAATAGAGAAGTTTGGATTCAAAGTTTGAAATCAAAAATTTTTCTATCAAGTGAAATGTTAAAAAACGCACTGCAAAAAAATACATGAAATTTCTGAAAAACATGTTGAGCATCACTGACTCTAGGTTATAATAATGAAAGTGAGTTTTTTAAAAAATTAAGAGAAAACTTTTTCCTAAAAATTTTAAGAGACCTAAGTATTTAATATTTATCACCTATCATAAATAAAATGTTTAATATATAGATTCTAAAACTTCATAAGATTTATAAAAAGATAATATACACATAATAATTCAAAAGTTAATTCATGACATTCAATCATCGAAGACTTGTATAAATATAAAAAATAAGAAGAAGAAGAGAATATCGTAATTATTAAAAGAAAATGTTTAGTTAAAAAAATATTATTATTTTATTTTCACATCTTTATAAAAAGTTAACTCTAATATTCATTATTTATAATTTAAAGGATCTAAATTTAGAAAATTAAATCATTATAATTGTTTTCTAATATGTTAAATCTAAACCTAAAATTCCTGGTGTCGTAAAACTATTATTTCTGTTGTTTAAAGTATAACTTTTAGTATAAGTTAGAGTGACTTATTGAAAATATATTCATATGTTGTAAAATTTAGAGAATCTCGTCAAGAAATATTTGTGTGTACGGTGGGTTGGAGAAGTTGTGATAAAAAAAAAAACTTATATTATAAATTATAGATTACCTCCAACAATAGCCATATATTTTGTTGTTGGTGGAATTTATCTGATTGATTAAGAATTGGACGATATCGATAATAGATGAAGTAATAGAAAAAAATATAGGTTTATTTTTTCTCTCTTATTTTGATCTTACTTCATAATTTAATATTTGAATTAGATTTTAAGATTATCTTATTTTATTCAACATGATTTCAAACGAAAAAAGTTTTAAAAATTTAATACCAAAACATGATTCAATCCCATATAGATTTTTTGTTTAACATTTATAAACAAAATATTTCAAAGTTAAAAAATTTGAAAAGTTTTAAAAATTAAAATTTCATCACAATTTTTAAATTGATGATATACATTAAATGTTTAGAGGTTATTTTGAAAAATATTATACTTTCATAATTTTAATGTCATGGTACCCTTTTGAAGGATGAGATTCCCCAGCTATGCTCTTACAACGTTTAGCTCCCCCCCCTTGCCTAGTTACCTTTCCCACATTCTTCTTTCCTCTAAAACAAGTACCTCATTTCTTATGGTCTCGACAGACGTTGCAAGATAACTGATTCTTTATTATTTAGTTATTGTAGCTCAAGAGGGAAATATTGGTTGCATGTATGGGTATTGGAGTGGCTTGTAGTGGATACTGTTTGATAACATTGTCAATGCCCTTAGGCTTTCCTTTTATTGCTGTGCACAATTCTTTGAAAAACAATGCCTCACTAACTTGTTACTATACTTAATAACTGGGCCAACCACAACACAACAGCTTCTAATCATTCAATCTTTTTCTATCTTCGTCACAATTAAACCGACTTTGGTCGCTTGCCAAGGTCCGTTACTGTAATGATTTAGCCTTCATCCTTACCATATGCAAGTTCAAAATTAGTTCCATCATGTCGCACTTTGTTCTGCCTACGTCGTTGAATTTCAAATGCAAATTTGTGCTCGGTGCATTGTATTAATGACACATGCTATCAATTACTTATGCTTGAAGTGAGAATCTGGCGCTACTAAGTAGTTGATTGACCTACGAATATTTCAATATGGTGAGGAAACAGGAGCTGATTTGTCATCAGAAGAATGATTCTCAGCTATTCGTAATCTATCAAAAAGATTGGGCTTATTATATACTTGCATTACGCAGCACAGTCCATTTTCTTTGAAACACTGACCAATGGTGCTATACAAAGTCTTCTTGACGAAACAATTTAATAAAATACACAATAAACAAGGCTCAATAACAACCTTTGCAACCCCCCCACCCCCTACACAATTTGATGATTTGTTTCAGTCTCTCAACATAATTTGTGAAATCAGTTCCGAATTGCTATCCATTCATCTGGACCCGACCATTTCCTGCCGCCATTACTACAATTGATATGGCAGTTAAATTGCAATGTCTTGTCTAAAAAACGGTGAATATAGGAAACTAGCTAGATCGAAATGGTAACCACAAAGCAGAACCAATTTTACAAATTGAAAATGACTGAAACGTTTCAAAGTTCAGGGCATAATATAGCCTGGCCTAAAAATTATAGAAAATGTAATTCAGCCCAAAAAACAATTCATCCAGTGAGATGCTAATTAAAAACCTCTTGGAAATCATGATTGATGAGCATTCAGCAGCGCTCTATAGACCATATCGATGAATTGATTGTCCTATCAGATAGCAAAAAATTAAAACCAAAAATTAGGATAATAATAATCTGCCCTAGTAAGAAATAGAACAGGATCATACAAAATTATCCCCTTCCTGACAGTCATTTAAGATCATTATATTCCCTACACAGAATATCACACACAAGCACCAGGTAAGTAGACTAACCTGAACAAGCACCAGAAGAGCATCTCGAACCTTTTCCCTAGAAATAACTGGACCGTAGTTTGGTGAGGGAGCAGGAGCAAGTGATGGTGGTGGGTTTGGTGGTGGAAATGGCTGTAGCAATGGAGCACCATATGGACGTTGCACATTAACAGCAGGATGAAGTGGAGGGGCAGTTGGTGCGGATGAAGATACCGGGGGTATCATCATTGCTGAAGAAGGAGGGGCGAAAAAAGAAGGCTTCACAAGTTTTGTGGTTCGGTTACTGCTAATTGACTCAGGAGCATCATGCTGGGGCATTGGAGGAGTAGATGATGAAAGTGGGGGAATCTGTAAGGTTGACACAGTCGGTGTAGCAGCATGAGTTTGCACGGAAGATGAAGAAATTTTAGCAGAGGACTGATAAGGTTGTCCAGTAATTGGAGCATTTGAAGCATTCCCAATAGCCATGGCTGCCTGCAGTAACGACGTGACAGGAAAAACCAATCTCATCATCAGCACTCATTTACATATATTTAACTTATCATATCAAACAATCTATGCAAATACATATTTGAACAAATAAATGATCATAAGTGACGCACCAAAGTTACAGTTCAGCAAGAATAAGCTGAAAACATTGACAATTCTAACTGTCTAATAGAACAGTGTAGCAAAGAAAACACCGAAGTGAAGTTTGAATTCAAAAGATACATGTGAAAAAGATATCTTATAATACCCGAGATACTAAAATTGGACCGGGAATTGAAAGAATTCAAAACTATAGATGGTGAATAAGCCAAAATTTTATAGTTTAATCTAGTATGTCAATGGAAATTAAATTCATTTCCTTTGTTCTCAACAGAATTTAGCAGAAAAGACTATTAGGATATAGCTGAAATAATTAAAAAAGAAACACCCAGGTACGAGTAGCCAAAGGACACAACCATGCTAAACATGCAATTATCCATCTTCACTGCTCGAATGTCATCGTATTTATTTGTCAAGAAAGCTTAGAAATAAATGAATGCATACAGAAACCTCAATAACATGTATAAGAAGCAAATAACATCGCTCAAAATGGTACATACACTGAAGAAATTTACAAAAGATGGATCATCAGGAACATCAGCCACATTGGAAGTAGTAGATGATGGTGGCTCAAGAGGACCATCCATAACTGCCATAGTTGGTACTGCTTCTAGTTCCTCAAACTCACTGCAACAAGTATAAGAAGAACTTGATTTACTCAGATTCAAAGTATACTGCATGCGAAAATAAATGGCTAATAAGCAATGTCTAAAGGTGTGCTAGCTAAATCTGTCAACTAAATTAATCTATTGGTGACAAAATGAAATGGCCTTTTTCAGAGAGAAGACCACAGTGCAATGAGGGTAAAAATATTCTCCAAAGCATAAACATAAAAAGAAGAAATCTAAAAAAGAACAATGCTGCCAGTATTTCTATATCAAAGGCAGGAACAATGCAAATGCCCTTGAACCAGGCATGGGTAGAGCACCAAAATAAAGGCAAAAACATAATCCCGTGCAAAAGCAATGTATACAATTTTACAAAAACAATTGAATAATGGGAAAACAGAGGTACTTATCACCTTTTCCCAACAAAAATAATAACACAGTTATATGATAACGAGACTAGGTGTAAGTTGCACAGAAATTATATCTCAACATATACAGTACAAGTATACCCATCATATACCACATAATTCATTCAGTAAATAGGAATACTGGTTGGTCTCCCAAAAATATGGGTTCCAAACCACTAAAAGAAGGACAGAATGAATCATGATAGAAAGAAAGGTGGTAGCCCATGAAAGACGAAGCACATGAGATGAAGACAAGAAAGTTCATGCAACAAAATGTGCACGATATATATATATATATATATATATATATATATATATATATATATATATATATATATAGAGAGAGAGAGAGAGAGAGAGAGAGAGAGAGAGAGAGAGCACATCCATCATTTTCGGAAAAGATAATGAATTAAAATTAAGAAAATAGAATATCACGGGGGAGCAAGCAAATGCTGGCATGGAGTCACTTAACCAGTGAGGGGCTTAATATTACCTCTTTGTAGAAGAAACCTTTGACTTTGGTGGAACCTTGGCATAAGCATTAAGGATCCTGAAAAGTAGCCAAATATGAATAATACATATACATTTTATTTTAATTTTTTTTACAAATTCCAAACAAATCTAGTTCTCTATGCTGACATCAGCAACTAAATCCATTGGATGGAGCAGCTAGTTGAGCCTTTGTTTTCCTGTTCTTTTATATGTCAAATATTTTGAACATTTTCTTGCAGTTTTTATGATGAAACCCATCTACATGATAGAGTATCAGTATTGTTCAATCAAAATTTTCCCAACTTTAGTAAGTGACACCATTTTTTAAATGTCTAAGTACATAGGTAAAAATTTCAAAAGACTATATACAGTCATATACAAAAGAATTGACAAGGAAAGCAAAAAAATTAAAGCTAATTGTTGCACATAGCTTATATGTTATCTGCAGCATATCATCAATTAATTTCAGGATTCCTTCAAAGATTCAACTAATGCAAGAAATTGAATTTGACTGCCATACAAAACACCACATTTTGGTCAGGAACCTTGTGTTGAATTAAACATCCATTAGGAACTGGCATGGGCAGAGTTGACCAATTCCATACCTAACACGTACAGCTAGAAATATGAGAAATATTGTAGAGTATCCTAGATGATCTCTTAGGCTTTATTCTGCTTTTAAACTTTATGATTAGATTCCTTATTCAATTAGCATCTTCATAAGTATAGGGATATCTCATTAGCATAAGATTGATTAGAAAATGAGTTATTGGCATATCATATCATGAATATATGAATGAAATCTCCTATAATTATTTGCATTTATTGCACTAAGTTTTATATAAAATGGACTCGGTTGTATAATTTAGACTCACAGTTTCAGCCCAATAGGTTCTTTTTTCTCCTCTTTAACCGGTACATCAGTGTTTGACTTTCAAAAAGAGCAGGAAAATTATGGTTTATCTATTGGAAGCATTCTCCCAAATCAACTTTCATTCAGTAACTTCAGAAACCTAAACTTTACATTCTACCGAAGCAATATGCTACACGTATGATGCTTAAACTATTGGGAAAAAATCTCTTTTCTTCTTTCAAAAACTCTCATAAAGATGATGCTTATAAACTACTTTGATCACAAAATAAAGTAATACAACACATGCAAAATACTCCCTTAACTATTCAGAACCACTACAAAATGACAAAATTTGCCAAAATTGGACGATTTATCATTATTAAAAAATATCACATGGGAACAGAGCAATTCCATAATTCAATCCACACTAAGAGCAATACCTGCTGAAAAGATTGGCAACCTCTTCACATTCACGTGCATTATAGAACCAGATACCATTCACTTCTTGAGCAGCGTTTCTATAGAGTAGATATGGCACCTGAACTTCATACTCGAAATCCCCCAAAAGATTCTCCACCAAATTTTCTGCTTATGCCACCATGGAAAAGTGAAAAATGCAAGTCATATGCAATGACATTAGGCAGTTCTCCATCACAAGACCATATATCAACAGTCAACACAGTATCTATTCCATATTTTCATCCTCAAAACAAGGTTTAAAGACATCTACAGTGTACACAATTACTAACTTGCAATACTCACAATATTTAGTGCAAGTTGCTGGGTGCAATGTCCGTCGATAGCCAATACCCCAGCCCCAATCCTATAATTTTAAGGTTAAAAGAGCGCACCTACTTACTATAACCATATTATTATATTAACTCGAACAAATACGGAGGAATAAAAACTAGAACTTAATACATAAATTGTCAAAAAAACAATCCCAAAATCCATATTATTTAATGTCACAGATTCATATGATCAACGAAGATCAATTGCACAATACGCCAGCTTCCAACAGACACTATTTGTTTGCCCATTTTTTAAACAAGATGACAACAATCAAAAGAAAATTGAATCACTAACCAGTATTGCGACGGTTCATCACAATAAACTGAAATCGCGGTTGTGTATTCCTGAAATTATGCAAAGCAATAAACACGATATAAACCTCGAATCCAAATCGTTGAAGCGATGAATCGCGAGATATAAAGATTACTAAAAAGTGGAAAAAGAAGACGAACCTCTTGACAACGAAGAGAGATCCTTCAACGTCCTTGCGACTCTGCAGAGCAATCAGAGCGATGAGAGTGGCTGAAACGGAATGAAAAGGTAAAAAATGAAGGGAAAAGATAGAGAGAGCGAGCGAACCCATTGGCTGAGGTCGATGTTGAACTCATAGAAGGTGACATGTGCTGCGGTGATGAGAATTTCTTCAACGAAGGGGTCGATTCGTTGGAGAACCGTTAGATTGAGAAGCTTGGTGCTGTGCTGGTCTAGATTCGGCATCAGCTTCCCATTCTGAGACATTTTTGTTGTTGTGTCCGCACCAAACCCTAGAAAATTGGGGTTAGGGTCTTTGTGTCTCTGAAACCTTGAGAGAGCACAACACAACACAACACAACGTTGGAGAAGAAGGTTGAGGTTGAGTCGATCAGACTCAGCTTCTTCCCAAAGAAAATCCTTGCTAAATGACAAAATAAACCTTCTAACTAATCCCACACGCACAAATATATTGTTATGAATACAATATTTCACAAGAGAAAATCTTCTCATATAATTATTTCACTTTTTTAAAATCATCATTTATTCCGTTAAACATAATATTAAAATCTAAATTAAGTCGTTTAAAATAAGTCATATATAATCAACGTACAAAAAATATAACTGATCAATAATTAATAGTAATCAGTATAAATGAATAATAAGATGTTTTTTTTTTATATTCATGTATTAGTCTTTTAGTTTGTGTATTGTATAAAATAAATATTTATTAAAACGCTTATTAGGTATGATTTAAGCTTTGTTTGGTAAAACCACCAGATAAAACGGATAAAAAATTATTTTTCTGTAAATAAAAATATATTTATTTATTTTTATTAGGATCTTTATATATATATATATATATATATAATCTTAAGTATAAATTAAATTAGTAAAAATATTCGACAACATTCACATGCCTTTTATATTATTGTGTAGTTGGGTTGAGGTAGTAACTAACTAAATTAAGTGTTTATTTAATAAACTAAATAAATATTTTTAGCAAGTCATTTAAAAAAATTATTTAAGTAAACTAAAAAAAAAGACTTACGCAAATCCTAAATGAGTTTCTTAAATTGAAAAAAAGTTCTCTCATAAATTCTTCTTAGCCCTCTCTAATGACAATGTTTCTTGGAGTTGAGTTATCATAATTCTTATTAAGTCACATGGTGTCTATTGTATATTAAGTATTTCGTTTTTACATTCCTTTATTCTTCTGAGTTATTAAATTTAATTAAGTTGCGTAAAAAAATATTAACTTTAGGTTTTAATTAAATTTTAAATTCAATTTCAAATTGTAGAACATTTTTTTTAAGAAACTAGAATTTAGATTTACTTTAATACTAATCAATTTCGATTTCTTTTAGGCCAAACTTTTTTTCAAAGCTTTAGACCATACTTATATAAATAAATAAATAAATGAAGTGTATTATTATATTTCTCTTGTTTTATGAGTCTATGTAAAAGGAAATTTAAGAATGGAGGAATTTAAATCAATATTGGTGATGAACAAAAACCTTAAGAAGGAGGGTTTTTTAACCTTGGGCAGAGGTTTGCACATGGAATTTGTTGGAACCACAAACCAGAACATGATTTTTCACTTTAATGTAACACACATCACTTACACCCTTACACCTCAAACTCATACAACTTTACAATGATATTATGTAAGAGAAACTTCTATCAAACACCACCATTACCATCAAATTTTCTTTTCTCTTCTCAACCCCTTTTGAGGGCCACAGAGGACAGCACAATCAAGCAAATTAAGAAAACGGCTGCAACGAAAGAAGCCACCACAGCTTCACTAGTAACTTGACAGAAGTCAGTGAACTGCTGACAAATGGCGATCCAATTGGCATCTTGGCTCCCATTGTGAGCTAAGTACACAACAGCAGCAGCAGCTGAAGCAGCTGCCATGACTAAAGCCAGCATAAACTGCAACATTGTAGTCAAATCTTATTGAATGAGGTGTTGTTAGAACAAAACTTGTTGGTCAATGCATTATCTCTACTAATTGAATTCAAGCTTACTATGTCTATGATCACTAGTAGAAGCCTTGGCCCTGCTGCAAACGGCCGAACAATGCAGACAATTGAAAATGGCAAGGAGAGGATGAGGAATACGACTGCTGCTCCATTTGCAAATACAAAAAACCTGCAAGTGACCAAAATAAAAGCATGGTATTCGCATGTATAAGTGTACTATTTGTGAGCTCCTTTATATGTGTATATTTGTGTGCTAGAAAAGTGGTATACTATGGTGATATAGCATTTGCCTAGCACCAATGAAGAGATATGATTGGTGATATCCGAAATTGGACCCCATCTTTATCATGGAACATAAACTTACTGAAACATTGGAAAATCATCCCATTGAACATGAAACTGGAAGAATTGGGTGAAGAATGGAAGTATCTGTTCATTGTTCCCCATGATGGCAGCAGCACCCATTGCCGAGCCAATGGCTCCGAGCCTAAGGATGAAATCTAGGATTGCAACACCCTTTTTCCATCCCCCCTTTGGGAGTGGGGTAGCTTTTGTGGAAACTATAGTTACAGAAGGTGGAGCAGCCTCGGCAATGGTTTTCCCTTTGCCATTGCTCCTGGTCCTCCTGGATTCTGGGCTGGTAGGTGCTGATGCCACACCCTCTTTCCCTGAGTCCATGACAATCGGATGTTGAAGATGCACTTTTGAAGTGTCTGGAGATGGAGAGTTTTTTTCTTTTTGTGGTATGTAATGCGAAGCTGTTACTTGTGTATATATAGATGATGCACAAAGAAAGTTGAGACATTCAATTAACGGAGTTGGTCAGTGAAGATGCTCTATGTTGCCTTTTCAAGTCTGAAGGTTTAATGAAGGAGTTGTTCAGAGCTTACTTGCTCCACATCGTAACCCAAGCATTTTTCCTTGACTCTGTAACGTTCCTACCATGAATGTGACAAAACCGCCAACCAAACTAACGAATGTTAAGACCAATTTCCAAATGTACGCATAATTTATTTATTTATTTATTTATATATCACATATCTCAAATTTGTGCAGGTAAGGCAAGTAGTTCAATACAAACGAAACAATACTGCAAGGATTCAAGGCAAAATCAAATACCATAAAGCCAAGTACGTATCAAGTGGTGTGGTTTGACTCGCAATTTGAGTATTCGGTCGTAAGTTTATACGTCGCATCAGGGCCTATTAGTTTAAAGCAATATGTTTCATTCTTAAAAGAAAAATATCAATGGACAACCCCAACTTGAACAAATAACCACTCTAAAACTCTTCTTAAAATTAGCATAAATTTATAGCATTTTCGTGAAAAAGACAATACAAGTTTTAGCATTACATTAATTCAAAAGAAAGATCTCAGCTATTGGTAAAGTCAGTTCATTAAATTGTATCATATTTTATAAGTAAACCCACGTCTCGAACCTAATACGATAAAAATAAATGGAGCAGATAACAAATCTTAGGATAAAAGGTACAATTAGTTAACAGCACAAACAAATTTTTTATTCACCTCATTCATTGAATGTGTCAATCGCCACAAAAGTGTCAAAATTTTCCGCCCAGTTTACAAGCTGCGATCGTATAATTAACCTCGTTACAATAAATCCTTGAAAATTGCTATGGTGGAAAGAATGACGGACACCAAATAGGTATTTTCTACTCGTGCTATCAGAGAAACATGATATTTTGGAAACAATCTTCCAAACAACAAATGGTTACAGCCTTTACCGAAAAAAAAAAATGGAGTATTACGTGAGCTAAGAATTGTGTTCTATATCTTCAGTTTCCATCCTCGGGCAGCAAGCGCTTCATGAACCCGTTTAGCTGCATCAGCAGTGTCATCAAGCGGTGGATAACTCCAATTTTCTGATATCTGAAAATTTAAGAAAATATATACCGATTAAAACACGGATACTCGACAACACATGATATATAATTCCAAGAACGTCCTTCCACATATCATTTTAATCCATGTACTTGATGAGTAAGTAGAACTCCAACTTACATCCTCGGACCCAGTAAAAGGCCTAACAACTCCGCGTTCTCTCAATGATTTATGGAATTCTGTGAATTTCCATTTGCAACGCTCAGCTCCCATAATATACACAGGCTTCCTGTACGAGAAACCAAACTGATTTATAAAACAAACAGCAGAAAGAAAATACATGTATCAATCTACAGAAACAAAATTAGCTGGGATCAGCTACAAATAAATAGACACCAGTGGACTCTATAGAAAACTAAATTTCAGGAAACTCATTTGGAGATCAAAGTGGGAAAATCTATCATAGATACTTTTGACAGACATACCCAGTGCTGCAAGCTTCACTTATCATGCTAACTGAATCTGCAGTGACAACAAATGCATCCGCCCAAGCCAGATGCCCCATATGTGGGTTTGGTTCTGCAAGTTGTGTCAGCAACGAGGATTAACCACATCTTATCTCTTCTAAGTTTTTTGAAGAAATTCTGATTTAACAATCCAAACCTGAATAAATACTCACCTTGCCCATCCCAAATAAAAACTTTAGGATTATTTCCAAGTTCTTTCACTATAATATTGGATATCTGTTTATATACAAACAAAGGAAGAAAAAAAAGTGTCAGGGATGAAAAAATTTCTCAATGATGTGTGCATAAAAATTCCATGGTATACCTTTTGTGGAGTCCTCTCTGAAAAGGATATTCTTACACTCCCACAACTACCAAGAACACTGAGCAAAGATGTCGCCAACTGCTTTGCCAGGTCGACACCATATCGACAGTTTTCTGCATATATAGCGGAAATGAGGTATATCTTTGGCCACTAAAATTCTAAACAACTTCAAACTTTTCTTTTGTCCCTTCCCCCCTCCCGCCTGGTTATTGCAGATTCCCCTGATTTCTTAGGATTTTTGGGTGAACCACAGGACATCTTACGTTAGTTGAAGAGCCCAAGGCCTTATAAAGGCTACATTACAATCTCATATTGCCAACGGGAGATTGAAGTCCTACACCTAGCAAATGGATCCTAACAATTTTTCTTTTTCACTGTTGAGGTATACTACTAGCCCTTTTTCACAAACATTACAAATATAATGCAATCCAGCATTTCATAAACAATGATATAAACATTTATACCAAATAAGACGATATTGGAATTTAAACACATGAAAACTGAATGAAATAACTAGGACAAGTATGATAGAAATTACTTGTTGGTCCTCCAATGTTGACCACGAGCAATGGCCTCGGAGCATGTGCAAACACATCTTGCCATGTAATGGCAGCACTGCGAAGTGAAGCAAAATCTATTCGATGTAAGGCTCCCAATGTCAGAACCTAATGTAAATTATCACATATACAATCCTCAGCAATAGACAGTTGCTAACATCAAAGTAAAATAGCATTTTCTCCAGTACAGTAAAATATTGTAGCAGTCATATGCCGCACACATTACACATACCACATGACTATCTGGTGGCTCACGTGGAGTTATCCAGCTTCTAAGAAACTTAGGAACCTGCTTCTGTCCTTCTGGAGTCAGAGGATAATAATCATGATGAGGAGTAATCACCATGTCAAACCTATTCAATTGAGACCTTGGATGTTGTATCTGTCCAGTTGGAAAAAGAAATAGTCAAAATTACAGATCAAATAATACCTAAATGAACCAAAGACCCATCAGTATAGAAGTATAACAAGTCACTACACCACATACAATGAAAATTAAATGGAGACTTATTAATACATAGATAATTTAATATTCTTAGGAACAAGCATATATTACTTATTTTCATTGGATAAATAAGAACTAAAAACATGTGTCTCAGCTTAGTATCTTAAAAAGATTTGCCCTATCGGAAAGACATTAAAACAAATAGTAACATGCAAAGAAACTAAAGCAAAAAAAAGACAAGCTCTAGATGCAAGGAAAGAGAGTATTGAAGAAGCGAAGAGTCTTGTCAATCTCCCATCAAGATTCAAGACAATGCCATGGAATCCAAGTACTAAACTAGCATACCAGCCAAAAAAGTTCAAACAGAAAATTGGCATGCCAAAAGAGTAGGGAGCTTCTCGGCTTTTGGAATACATTCGCAATACCAACTTATGTCAACCACAAGCTGAATTTCACCTTGGGCAAACTTTTAAGGGTATTGAACCTATTCCACGACTTCATCTTGCAATTTCAAATTAAACAAAGACCAACTAAATTACAATAGTTACTTTTAACAAACCAGCAAAAACTACAATAAGCAAGTGAACACATAAGTATGAATTGAATCACCTTGCTTATCTGCACAAAAGTACCACCACCAGACTTTACTAGACATACATCAAAGTTATATGAACAAAATCAATCAGAGCATGAAACGCGAGTGCAGACCTGAACAACAAAAACAAGGTCAGGAGCTAAACGTTTTATGGAACTCGCAACAGAAATCGTGTCTCTTCCAGATGCCACCACCAATAACGGTCCTTCCCTGTAAAAAAAACATCAAAAACATTATTATTCCAACACATCAAATTACAGTTAAAAGAAATGAAATAGAAATTCACTTTTCGTAAGTTTCACGAGCCAAATTGACTATGTTTTTGGCATCAGCTTCGAGAATAGAGGACAATCCGTGAGGGTGCGAAGTGATAGGAAGGTACTGAGATTTGGAGGAGAAGGTGCGGAACAAGGAAAATAGGAAATAAAATTTTTGATGGAGAGAGAGGGGAAGCCATTGGAGCCAATCGTCGATTCCACCTCTCGGCCTCGTAACGCGCTGCAACAACAAGATGTATCAGTAGAGAGAGAAATAGTCAGTCGGAAGATTGTAACCGAAAATAAATAGCGTACGTATAGGAGGTGGTTTTGGGAGAGGCCAAGGGCGCGGAGTAAACCGATGCTGTGATTCTCGGAGGAGCGGAAGCCGTTGCCGATGACGACGGCGCGGCGGACGATGGTGTGGACGCCGGATTCAAAGATGTCCGGAGTGCCACGCGCCGCCGTGGGACTGGGCGGCTCTGGAAGCTGGATTGGTTTCATTCGCATGGCTTGGAAATTGGAAGGAAAGAAGAGAAGGATACACAGGGAAATAAAAAGGGAGACACGGAAGTTGCATTCTCGGGCAAACAAATTCTCTGTTCTCAGTTTTCACTTTCACCCAAAGTTAGTTGTATTGGATTTTAGTAACTACTACCCCAAATCAAGATAATTCAAATATTCAGTTAGATTTGTTTACTTACAGTAAACAAAATTCAATAATAAAAAATATTTTTATTTATATAATATATTTTTTTAATTAATTTATTTATTTATATTCTTATTTTCTCTCACTTCATTTATTTTTATTATATATATATATATATATATATATATAATATCTTTTTTCCTTTTTTTTCTAATTCTATTTTATTCTTCTACTTAAAAATATTATATTAAAATTAATAAAATAAAACTGTTATTATTTTTTTAAAATAAAAATATTTAAATTATTCAAAAATATTATAATTTAATATATTATATTTAAAAAATATTATATGATAAATTTAAGATATTAAAAATTATATTTAAATATTTATTTCAAAGTAATTTTTTAATAAATATTTTTTTAAAATTATCTAACTATTAAATATTTATTTTAAAGTAAGTTTTTTAATAAATATTTTTTAAAATTATCTTATTAATCATTTTTACTCCATCTAATTATAATTAGATTAAATTATTAAATAAAATATATTTAACGCACTAATATTTTTTAATCAAAATAAATAATTAATTTATTATAATTAAATAATTTTAAATTAATTATTTAAGTTATCATAAATAATTATTTATTATCATAATAATTTTAAATAATTATTTATTATTATTATTATTATAATTTTAATAATTAGTTGATATCTTTTTAATTTCAATATCATTTTAAAAATTTACTCTAATATATTTTTATTAAATTTTAATATAATAATTTTAATTAGCAGAATAAGAGAGAAAAATAATATTAGATAGAATGTATTTGGATAAATAAATTAATAAAGATTATATTAAAGTAATTTCTCATTGTTGATATAATTGATTCAAATAATTATCAAATTTAGTGAATATTAATGTTTTTTTTAGCTGCATAAAACAAATAGGAATATATGAGAGAGGCTTGGAGGGACTACTTGAGTCTGGATCGATTATATTTTATAACAATTATTTTAATTCATTCGTTCTGTGCGAAAAAAATAATTCAAAGATATGTTAAAGTTGTTTATTAATTATGAAGCCATTTCTAAGAATAAGAATTTTGTGATAAGTCTTGTCAATTGATCACTGATTACATATATATATATATATATATATATATATATATATATATATATATATATAAAAGTGATCAAATATCAGTCCAAATCTACTGAAAAGTTTGAAGTAAAATTTATATATTTATTGGATAAATTCATTTTATATCAATAAGTTTTGGGCTCAAATTTTAAGTTAAAATTTATGATGATATTAGTAACTGTTCATTTTAATAATTAAGATTGTTTATTCTGATAAGCTCATATGATTAAATAAACATCTTGTTAAACAAATATATGTAAATATAAAGAACATTGCTAGGAAGTTTTATAGGTCCGTTCTCAAATCTCATAAAAACTACCCTTCCCAAATCTAACCAAAGCTAGATAGCAGACAGATAAATGAGAAAAGTACAGAACACAACACAAGGAGGGAATGCCTATTTCACATTCAATTGAACTGATTCATTTTTTATTAGCTGACTCAAATAGATCAAGAAATCTGATGCATGCATTTCACAACCTTATAAGATATATCAATGGTAACTCAACAAATCAACATGAAAGTTCAGCTGCGATTAAAAACTTGTTGATGCGTTTCACAACCTTCCATCATCGATCATCCAATGTATTCCAAAGCAATATTTCCCATCATTTTAGCCAATGGCAGAGGACACTTTGTGATAATATCAAACCTAGAAGGATTTGAGGCATGTCCAAAGAGTGATATGCTTAACCACACAAGCTCCTTTAAAGTCAACTTAGAAGAGAGGAACCCCTGCCAGTAATAAGGTTTCAAGTCAAAAAAGGCATTGAAGAACCTCCTGCTGCCATTCAAGTCAAGCTTCAACAAAGTCTCCATTCCAAAAGAGTAAAATTCCCTTACCATCCTGTTCTCAATTGGCCACATGCTATTCCAAACTTTAGCATAAAGCTGTTTCCCCCTAATCATTCTGGTGGAGCCAAGACACTCAGCTATAGCAAAAGCCACAACAGGTGCCACAGCCATTGTTCTAGCCACCATATACCCTGTGGAAGGGTGGACTATCCCAGAAGTCCCACCAATAGCCATCACACCTTGAGGGATCCCTGGGAGAGGTCCTCCCATTGGGATCAAGCACTTCTCATCCTCCAATACCCTCTTCACTCTAATACCTAAGTGCCTTAACCTTGCAACCATCCTCCTCTTTACTTCTATATAAGACAACACTGGACGGCTAACAAGTGAAGTCTCTTCAAGAAAAATCAAATTGGAACTAAATGGCATTGCATAGAGGAAAGTAGGAAACCTGGAATTACTAACTCTCATACAAGGTTCATTCCCCAAATGAGAATCCCTCCAATCCATCAAAACCATCTTATCCAAATCAAAAGGGTGTTCTTCCACTTCAGCCAAAACACCATGAGCAATCTGATAACCATGGTTTCTCACCTTGTCATACGCTATAAAACGACTACCAAATCCACTAGCATCAACAACTAAACTCCCCTTCAATTCCATCCCATCATCACACAAAACAGAAGACTCGAACTCCTGGTGCACAACTTGCCATGCCTTTGCCTTGTGAAATCTAACCCCATTGGAGACACACCCTTCAATCAATCTCTCTTTCAGCTTCCTCCTACTAACCCTCCCATAAGGACGATCCAAATACTTGGTCTTGGTATCACTAACATAAACGCAAGCCATAGGCCATGTTTTGTCCAAACAATCCTCAAGACCAAGATTCTCAAACTCATCCACCCACACACCATAGTTGTTAGGCCACACAGAAAGAGGGTCAGGATCAACACAACAAACCTTAACTCCATAGAGGGACACTTGCTCCGCGAGCCTTATGCCTGCAGGGCCAGCACCAATGATGATCACATCAAAACGAGCGCGATCAGCAGGGTGGCACCACGGAAGGTCAAAATCTAAGGCTTCAGGTTTGTGCTCAGGCTTCAAGCCAATGAAATTTCCAAACTTGTTAGTGCTGTGGACCCTCTTACCTCTGATCAAATTTCTTGATGCGCTGTAATGGATTTTGGAAAGAGGGAATGGAGGGGTGTTTGAGTGGAGGGGTTGCTGAGGCTTGAGCGGAGACGGTGGGGAAAACAACATGAAACTAGTTCCCATGTTTGTCCCCGGTGATTCTGATTTGAGTGATGGAGAAAGTAGAAGGAAATTATGCAGAAAGGAGAATGGGGTATGTCTTGCTGTCTGCACTGGACGGAGTTTGGCAATCGAAAGATACATGCAGACAAATAGGCATCAAAAAGTAAAACACTGACACGATGCTTTCCCACTCTTCTAGGCAACATTTATTTCTCAATTATTTAATAAATTATATTAATTACTATCTCATCAAATACCAATTAAATATTTAATATTAGTGTTATAAGATATTTTATTTTAATTTTTCATTTAATATATGTATTAATTTCGTTATTAAATAGGTAAGTAATAATGTTTGATGTTTACTCCAATGTCCGTTTATTTCTTGAGAGAGAACAAGAAAAAAAAGGTAAGAAAGATATATAGAGAGAGAGAGAAAAAAAATTAAATAATAATTATTTTATAATTATATTTATTATTCATTTCAAAATATTATTTATTATAATTTATGAAATTTTTTTAGCATTTAATTGTTTATTTTTACCTTATTTTTTTACATTTTATTATTTAATGGGTCATGAAAAACATTCATTACGTAATTAATGTATTATTTCAATATTTCTTTATTTAATGGTAGATAAACTTTAATCAGAAGTTTCAAAAATATGTATTTAAAATTTAGAAAATAATTGTATCACAGTTAGTGCAATATTTTTCTAATTAACTTATGTATTGTTCGTTCACAAAACAAAAATTAAATTTTATGTGATGTATTTATTTTTTTTAAATGTTGTCATTTTTAAGTTATTTGTATATTATAAGCTTAATTATTTTTTTAAAATATGATAACTAAGAATTAAACTTTTCTAAATAATAACTTATAATGGTGAAAAAAATTAATATACATGTGCTTTAATTTATAATTGTAATTATTAAGTTAATAAATACTGCATTGAAAACTATACTGAATGGTAATAACTAAAATTAGAAACATATATTTTAAATAACTCATAACAGTTTAGTTTAACTACAAGAAAAAACAGTTTTAGCGATGAAAAAATTTGGTCGTTAATGTTAAAAAATTGGTCACTAATCGAGTTAGCGACCGAAATACATCATCGCTGAAGACCAATTTATTAATGTGTTAGCAATCGATTTTCAGCTTCGATCGCAAAAATAGTGATCGATAAAGTGGTCGTTAAATAATTTGGTCGTTTATTCCTTAAATACTTAAAAGTAACCGAAATTAATATTATTAAATTGTTCGCTAAATTGGTAATAAATTTAAAGAAAATAGCAACCGATTTATATCGGTCGCTAATATATTAATTGAATTATTTAAATAATAATTTAAATCGGTACGTAAAAATAATAATAAATAATTTCAGTCGCTAAATCGATAACAAAGTAATTAGCGATAACAAAGTAATTACCCTTTATATTATATTTTTATTATTCATTATATTTTTTAGAGATTTGAATTATTATCATATTAGTATCAATAGCAAGATTCAAACCTAGGTATCTTAAAGTTAGAGACTGATACTCCAACCACTAAGTTATAGAGATTTTTTTATAATAACTTACAAATAAATTTTATTTATATACAAATAAATGTATATTAGTATTTATATATTTATATATTTATATTTTTTTATATTTTT